TAACCACATTTATGTTACATTGCCTTAGCCGATTTCCAAGACCGAACAAGTTAATAGCTTGTTGCCATCTTTGCCAAGTTGTATAAAACAAAGTAAAATTAGATTATGAGTTAAAAATTAATTACAACTTCACTTAACTTGGGAAATTGATGAACGAGTTTTCAAAACTTATTATTAGTATTGCAAGGAGTTCAAGGAATATTCGAAAATAATATAATCAATAATCGCTTAAACTTTTCGATTTAATACAAGTCTATTATCAAAGGTTACAATATGGTGATTGATCTGTTTTCTTTTTTTACAATTACGCCACCTTTTAACAAATTATACGTCTGGTCACGTTAAATTAATAACTAGTTTAAAAGCTAATAGCATACAAAAATAACAAGACATAATAATATAACAGCTTAACTGATAATATTAACAACAAGTCTATATAGACAAATTCATTGAACGTTTTTACTAGTGTTATCTATTAGATTAGTATATTTTGTAATTTATTTTATTATCCTATTTCCCGGTGTCTACATCATGTAAATACTAATACTTGCTTATACCTACGACCATAAACATAAAAATTAATTATCTATCACAAATAATACTACTAAGTAAACTCTTTGTCTCTATTGCCTCAAATGGGAACACAGGCGTGAAATTCGAAGCTGCCGAGAAAGGAAATTCTTGTGTGCGAGGAAAGCTATTTTTGTAGTATTAAATCCCTGTGGAATGATTAATTGTGGCAGCAGGTCAACTAAAGCAACCCGCGGCCAATTTCCGAGCGTAGTAATCCGTTTTATTAATAAATAAGGGCTGGTTGGATTCTATGATATTATTTAATATTACAACGGCGCAATCAATAAAGTAAATAGGGTAGACGAAGAACTTAAAGGGCCCGTAAATATTTGATATCGCTATTGGCAAGATACAAACTCAAAACAATAATCCTCTGCGATTCGGAACAGCTCTAATTGAACGCACGGAAATAGAACACAACGATTTTCCTTTGCAGATATTCTTGTGGGAATAGTTTTAGTAAACGCGGTATTATACCAAGCCTAGGCGAATGAATAATGATGTTGCAGTATATTCATTCGCGAGCTGTTACCGAGTTCATTTCTCAGTATCTGTACCTACCTAAGTTTCCATACGTTTGCACGATGCTAATCGTGCATTAATTTCAATAACTATACAAAATACAGTACAAGAGAGAGGGGCGCATAGGGGAGGTGGCAGAACGTATCGAGATAGGGTAATGCACAGGTGTAACTGAACAATAATTGTAATAACTAAAAATGGTAAAATCGCTTTCAAATAAACGCCATAATACGTTTATTACTTCATCTAAAAAATATCCCACACAGATTTGGAACTAATTCGACTATTATAAAAACATTCATAGCATTCTGTAATTTTAAGATGAAAAATTTTTGAAAAATTTGTTTGTCTTTTTCTTGATTTTAAAAGGGAAGTAGTGAATTTTGGAAATTTTCCGCTTTACAGAGTACGATTCTGGTACGATTTCTGATCTAAAAACTTGCTATGTAAAGAAATCGGTTCAGCGGCTTAGAAGATATCGTAAAAACAATTCAGCTACGCGTCGAAGCTAATAACTTTAATCAGCAGCGAATGACGAGGTGCACCGTGGAACATTTTTCTAGATAATGGAAAACTTTTTTTGGCAACTGGTTATTGCTGGCCGACCAGCGGCTACTAATCACTGAAACGATGGCGACCGACAGGAAGAGTAGAAGACAAATTGAAAACGCTCACTGCTCGGACTTTCTTTATTGTCGTCGTTGGCCGAGTTTACAGCGTGGGCGCATTGACACCGATTGGTATACAACATAGGTATCACTGGCACATGGACCTAATGAAATTCCCGGTGGCTAACCAATGAACCCTCTTGAACGATAATTAATTTTTCGTTTTAGAGCTTAAGATCTGAAAATGATTAGACTGAAAAGAGATCTAAAATTGGGCTTTAACGTTTTTTACAATTTTATTAAAAATCTGTAGGTTGCTTTGTGGGAGTGAACGGACAGGCAACAGTTACATGAAAATAACATAATTATGTTGTTAAATACGATTTAAATGAGAAAACGGCAACAAATTATTTTAGACAAACAACTTACGATACACTGGCTTTAAATACATATTAATGTATAAAAACAATACATACATACATATTTCAGATTGACTTGGTTTCGGTAAAACTTCCTGCTAGTCTCGTCGACGTTGGTCGCTGTTGAAAAGGTCGTAGTGTCATATTTTAGCTTTGATAATAAAAAAAAAACAACGAGATTTATTTTTACACCCTTCCGCCATTTTGTTTATGCATATTTTTTTTTTACTGGAGTTGTCGAATATTTTGTTTGCACTATAGAAAATTGTTTTACATTACTGACGAGTTATACCGACCAAAGAGAGAGAAAGAGAGATCTGATGTTAACTACGCGGAAATCGATTGAATTGCGATGAAATGTGAAAACTTCTACACATATTCATTTCTAGATTTATTTGTTATACAATATATTAACACAAAACAAAAGGAAAACTTTCTATTATAACAGTCTGCGTCACACTGGGCGATTGGAAAACTGTGACCCGGTCAACATCTTAGAAGACATTATATTTTTTTAATTTTTCTTTTTTCGCACATCTTTAGTTGGCTCAATTTCGATATATTTTTTAAAAATACACTCCCCTTCCGAGTTAAATCCTTAAGAGCTTTTATGAAGGTTACGTATACACTTTAACTATAAAATAAATGCAAATATTTAGGTTACCAACGGTTAAGCATGCATAAAGCGCACGAAAAAGAATAATTCAAAAAAGTCTAATGTCTTTTAACATACTATTGACTGGGCGGTAGTGTGTGCATTTAAAAACGATTCAATACTGTATGTATTGTGGTGGGTTATATTATCATCAGCTGAAAAATGGTGCACAAGTGAATAAGTAAAACTATGAACATGATATTATCGTCATTAAGGCATCACAACACGACAATGGTACTAACGATAAATAAAAAATAATAATGTACTCAAACGGTAAAACTTTTAAATAAATATATACATATACATTTTGTTTTCCTTCTGGAAACTAAATCGAGTTTTAAATAAGCCATCTATTAAAAGCACATTAAAAGAGAGTATATACATTTTTTTCTGTTCTACAGAACAATGGAATAAAAATAAAATAATGCCAAAAAATAAAGCATTCCGACAGTTATTCATATAGTATTAACTGTCCAAGATATAATATTGTCTGAGATACCGGGTCGTTATAATTTTGGAAAAGTGATGCATTGGCAAAACATCGATTCGTACCCCAACGTTGATTTATAAAATAAATAAACAGTTAAGTTCGATAAACAGTAACGAATAAGCGGTATTTGACTTCTCGAGCGGAACACAGGAAAAACAATCGGTGAAAAAATAAAAAGTTGTCTCTCCAAGTTTCACAATAGATATAATATTATGAACGCATAAAATGTATATTTTGTTGCGAACTCGTTGAAATATTTACACCGAACAATCATATTTACTCCCATTCAACATCACGCATCATTGAAATTGTCTTATACAATTTGACCACACGATTAAATAAGTATAACAAACAAGTGTTTAAAAAAAAAATACCGCAATAAGCGTTTGAATTTAATTCCCATCGAAAATTATTCATTCAAAACTAAACCAGACAACACTATAGTTTATGACGTTAAAAGCATAAATATATTATTGTGATTCAAAAGTGTAAGGGTAGTTTTATTTAGTTAGAAAAACGCAAATTGTTATTTTACATAAAAAAAAATGTTGGTTTATGTTAAATGCGTACAATTTAACAACACAACGTTTTAATTATTATTAGCAAAAAAACTGTTTTCTAAGAAAACTATGATTCGATACAGTACGGTGTATATAGCACAAAGACCGCTTGAGAAAGTAAACCATGTGTTAAAATAACACATTGGTCAATCCAATTAGACTACACTTTTATTAATACTCTGAAAACTCAATTACGCGCTAATTTAATTTATAAAACAAGCCTGCACTACTTTCGAGTTCCCCGCAAATGTCATTAGCTTGTTAAAAAGTTCATTTTTTCCTCACTTGACCGGTTAATTGATTGAACAAAGTCACCAAACGGTTTAGATGTTTTTCGTATAAAACTTTAAAGTCTGTCGTTCCTAATATTTCGGTGACGTGGTTACCGTTAATAGACAAATCAACAACATTATGAAACTATTTTTTTGAGTATTCTGCTTGTCATACAAATTAAAAACTCTCAAGTACCAGCTAGCATTCCAAGCTGACAACATCTTTAACTTGTGACTATGACCACAATGAAAAATAATAACGCATTACCATTGGTTGTTATCTTAAATAGTCATCTGAGCGGTAGTAGTTAATTGAAACAGATGTTTGTTGGATAAAATTCGGGACCGTTAAATGTATTGTCGTAGACCGTTGAGCAACCATAATATTAAATCTGAAATCGTGATAGTAACCTAGTAGTTTACTACGGTTTGTTTTTCATTTAGTTTTTCCTAAATCAAAATAAGTTTAGCTACAGATTTTTAAGAAAATCGTACAAGGTATAGAGCCCGCTCTAGATCCACCTTCAGTCTAATTTTCAGACCTTAAGCCCTAAAACTACACCAAAAAAAAAAAAAAAACGAAATACAGAAAAATATTGTTCACATTTTCTTGGGGAAAATTATTAATAATAATTAAATAATTGTGAAAATAATTGTGGATCATCCGGTACATACTAGACGGAGACTGTTTTTCACAACTCGGCGAATATAACAGTAACAATTTGTACTAGCATGTTTGTGCTGTGAGTTTATCAAAGTGTTCGCTGTGTATCAAAACTACACGCAGTACCATTTAATTAACAATTATATTTACTTGCTCGGGTCTATTAGGCTAAAATATAACATAATGTATACAATACAATGTACTAATATTAACGTTGAACGTTTTCTGTTGTTTCAGGTGAAAACCCGGCGGCCATGCAACACGGCCACGGCCGAAGTCTGAACATGCTGAGTTGCCCGTCTATTTGGATACTCATACCGTCTCTGGTCGCGTTCGTTAACTCCAATTATTCATATTAATCTTGCACAATGTCTCGGGGGGGTGGGGGGGGATATACAACACAATACCACTGCTGAATCCGAATCGGACCCTTTGTAAATACTACTTATTTCCTCTACTGATAGTCTCTTTTTCGGATGAATGTTTTATACGTACCACCCAATATAATGTTATTACATATTTTTTTTTTATTATTATTAAAGTTAAAGTACAAGCATTTGTGCTAAATAATTATACACACATATGACTTTGAAAAAAAAAAAACGGTGGAGAGACCGCCCCGTGGCGGACTCCTGCTGACTTTTCATATAATTATTATTATTATTGTGTTAAACAATGTTAATGTTATTAATGACAATTAAATTGACGATTTAATATTCAATCGATGATTATTATATAATACTCTTAACAATTATAATGTAAAATATTGTAAATACAAAAAAGCAAAAGAACATAATAGTACGGTGTATGATTAATTTTTTTGACCGTTTGATTTATTTGTGTGTAAGCTCTGTCTCCCGAGAGAACGGTACTGCGCAGAAACCAAAGCGCATTACTATCGTGTGCGCATGCGCAGAGAAAGGAAAACAGCAGTGACGTGTTTTGGTTTCTGCGCAGTACAGTTCTCTCGTGAGACAGAGTATAATAATAATATGCGTATTAAATCCAATAAATTCGTTTACCGGTTATCAAATATGTATATATGGTAGATACAGTGTGTATCTAAAAAACATGTCACTGGCGTTATCCGAGTATTTGATTGTTTTTTTTTTATGTGACTCGGATGGTTGAACATATAATATACTTTACACTAGGGTTGGGCCTATCCGGATATTCGAATTATCGGATAATTCGGATACGGATATCAAAAACTATCCGGATAGTTTCGGATATTCATTTTATTTTTATAAGACAAATATACCTTAATAATATACAGTGTTTTTAAACATACCGAATAATAAAATAATGACACCTAATTAAATTTTACTATTACATGAATGATTTTTAGATATATCCGTGTCAGTGGTTGTTAACCGACTATTCGGTCTCTTTGCAGAGTCCATCCTCAGGGTTGTCACGACTGTTCCGCTGCCGGTTATTGGTTAATAACCACTGACGCGGATATATCTGAAAATCATCCACGTGATATTTCAACCCGTGAAAGTTTCAAAAAATACATAAATTTGAGTACTCAAAAAAATATATTCGGCTGGTTAAAAATTAAATGAATATCCGAAACTATCCGGATAATTTTTAACTATTCGGATAGTTTTGGTTCTACGGATAATTGAAATATTATTTGATATCCGGATTTCGGATATCCGGATATCCGCAAAATCCGAATATTAGTCCCAACCCTACTTTACACTATACAAAAAAAAAATAATAATAATAAAAGAGCACATCTTTTTAGGTAAGCGAACAAAATAGCGAACGCGTTTTTTGTTTTTTAGCTGAAAAATATATTTTTTTGAAAATTAAATAACGACTATTAAAATAATTAATACATAAAAACCGCATCAAAAATGGTATTCCAATTTTTTTTTTAAACTATAATTGTACAAACTATAACAGTAGTGACATGTCTTTTATGTACATTTCATCTTGTACATTTTTTTCAATCTGTATAAAATATATAGAGGTGATTATATGACGTGTATTTGCATTTTAAAATCAAGAAACATTATTGTAGTATAATATTATTAACGGATTATTTACATCATATTAATTGTAACGTTATATTATGTCGTACTTTAAATAATAATAAAAAAAAACTAGCGTTTTTAAATTGTTTTTATACACATTTACTGCTCACGCTACGTACGGAGCTACCGTTTCTTTAAAAATATTGTTAACTATTTTTGTTTAAATGTAAAAACCGTTGTAGTATTTTAAAGCCTCATCACTTCACGGTCTGGCGAATTATTTTTTATTTGTATTCGTAGCAAACGAGTTACATATTATAATACAACTGTTTTGGAAATGTTTTATACACCACTTTGTTGATTTTAAGCTTGTAAGTTGTGGAAACTATCGTTAGTGTTACCCATGTATTTGTTACCCATTTGAAAAATCTACATGAACTAAGTTTGAAAAAAAAAACCTAACCAATTTGTTCATATTGTAATTAATGTTAGCGTTGAGAAAACTGTTAAATTATATTTATTATAAACCGATACAGATGTTAAACCTGTTTACGCTAACTTCTAATAATATACTATTATTATTATGTTAATACTTAAAAGTTACTACGTCGATAATATTATTGTTTTTGGATGTGTAAATAATATAATATATCCGTTTATAACGTCACAACATGTTTTGTTCTGCCTTTTGTGTTTTAAAGTAAGAAATTCATCAAATCACATTGGGCAATCAATATTTAATACTCTCTCGAGCAACTAGTAGAGGAGCAAACAACTCCAGTGTGAAGGGAGAGTTTTGTAGTGCAGGAATAAAATTAATGAGCTGTATAGTATGGATGTATAGGAAAAGACTATAGAAAAGAGAATTTAAAAAAAAAATGGGACTAGTGGAAGTAAAACCGAATATATAGTGTATGAGTTTAGCGGAAGTGGATAAGCGGTGATGTTGTAGACGTGGTTGAGTTTTAAGTATTTAGGATCTTTAGGTCTGAGATGATGGTTTGAACGAGTCATAAGGAGAGAGGAATCGGAAACAGTAAGAATAGTAATGAAAATAAACATAGGAGAAAAGGGACGGAGAAGAAGACCGCAGATAAGATACGGATTAACACACTTGATCACACTATGACTCAGGTAAGAGATGTACCGCGCCAGTCTCACTTTGTTTAGGTTTGACCGTAAATCTGGCAACTTACGGGGGGTTAATTAGGTAGGATTAAGTAGGATTAAGTAAATTAGGAAGACTATTGAATGGATAGGTCAGGTAAGGGAAGGGAAAAGCATATTTATAATTCTATGATTTAAAGTGTAGCGGAGAAAATATATGTGGTTTTTTTTTCTACCAGGATAAGAAGAAGGTAAAGCTTTCAATAAACGCTTGGAAATAATGTTGAAGCAAAAAGTAAAATTGAAATTTTCATTCACATATTATTATTGTACCGTGTTTGCAGATGTTTTTACGGATAGTCTGCCGAGACGTACGGGTTTTTCTTGCAAACAAAATACTGCATTACAATATTATTGTTAGTAAACACATTACCGAAAACGTACAAAGAACGAAAATAAGGAAACCGCAAAAATACCACATTCCGGAACGCCGCAAGTGCACGAATACTTTCCAGAGAGTAAACAGCAGCGCCATCGAGACCTATATCCCTTGAGCTCTACCCGTTAGTCGTTAACGTTTATATACAAACACTAAAGGTTATTTTTACTGAACCTTCCGGTGCTTTCCTGGCCAAATTAAACACGCCTGGTATACGAATTAATTACTACGTTAATAACGATTCCAACCCGTTGTAACGACTGAGAAATTTAAAACGGCATCGTTTTGTCCCCCAGACAAAACTCCAACGACGCCCTATTATATTATTATGCGATGATATAAAAAAAAAAAAAAAGGCCCGCCCTGAGATATCAAAAATGTTGAGATGGTACACGTTAGGATAGAGAAGTCATAGGTTTTTTTTAAGAGTTATTTCAACTGAAAGTGATACAAAATTAAAAAAACAAAAACCATTGCATTTAATAATTATTTCAAACATAAAATAATAATAGTTCTACTATACATCTCATATCAGCTTATACACAATGAACCCATTCGTATATTAATAAATCAAAATAAACATAGGTAAGAAGTACAAGAAATAAACAGAAAATTCTTTTAAAAAAAACAACGCTATAACTGTGATTTGAATTGAATTTGAACTGTATATAATGATGTTCCGCCCTTTTACAAATATAATAAAGCGTACCAATGTTTACGGAAATAGATTTTACTGACTGATAGGAAACATAATTAATGTCTTTGATCATAATTCATCATTTCCGCTGAATCGACAGGCTCCACTCAGTTCTGAGATGTTCTAATAAATTTAACTGCAAAATACAAAGAATAATAATATATGTAAAATTGTTTTACTGATAAAAAAATAATCAATTTCAATAAAGATATTTTAACGATTTTCAAACTATTGTATTGTAACAGTTAAATAATTAAAAATATATAAATATATGATTGTAACACTCCCCAAAAAGGGGGCCATACGTTTAGGAAGAAGACTTCAAGCTAAACTAACTGAAATTATGGAAGTTTTTCATTAATTGTTATTTAATAAAAAAAATCTATAGCTAATATTCAAATAAGTTTGAAGTTAGAGTAATATTTGCAAAAATTAGTGTTAAATTTTTCATAAAAAAAGATCTGTCAAGAATATTGTTTTTGTCATATGGTGCTCACATTGTACCACTTAACAAAAAAATATTTTAAATTAGATAAAATTAAATTACAATTTTATTCTGTTTGATTAATTTTTAATTTTCCTCGTTAAAACTATGACAAAATAAAGGGGTTCGGTTTTGGACATTTTAGTATCGACACTTTAATTAGATTTTAATTTAAGTTGAAAGATTTCCCTTGTGATTATGTTCAATTTGATTATAATTAGACACGTTTAATAGTAAGTTAGTATACTGTACAACTATTAATTTGATTTTCCAGAAAAAATTAGTAAGTACCTACTTACTGGATATTGATTTTGTCAAAGTTGTTTGTTTTAATTTCATAAAGACATTTTTGACGGAATATCAAACATAATGTCTTTACTAAATCGTTAATTTATTTTTCATATCGATTAGGCACATAAAATTGTAAATATTTCAATGTAAATAAAACGTCAAGGTTATAATAAATGTATTTCTATAATATAATATATATTAGTATCAATGGTGAGTGTGTTAAACTATAAAAATTAGTAGAAAATGGTCATCAAGGAAATCCGTATCGCCTTTTTGTGAGCTTTTGATGTCCTCAAGAGATTTAAAGCTGGTGGAGTTTTATATAAGTGATATTTATTGAAAAAGTAGTATTAATAATTTTTGACTGAGTCAGTTAATTTTCAAGTTGATTTGAATGAGCTTCAAATCTTCAAGTTATTTTTAACGAACAAAATGTTTTCAATGAGTGAATTAGTGGCTCTTTTTTTGCATTATTCAAAAAACCACTGCTAAATCAATGGCTTATAACTAAGTCCACTTATATTAAAAATTAAATCACGAGAAACGCAAAAGAATACAGATTGCCATAGAAACAAAACCCAAAAATAAAAATCTCTTATTCGAGTCAAAGTATACAAGGTAAGGGTAAATTCTTGACAACAAAAAAAAACATCTATAATTTCTAAAAAAATTTAGTTAGAGAGACGAACTTTTTAACACATATTGAATTTAGCCAATTTCATAATCTGTGCAAATTAATTAAAACTACAATCTAAATTGCCTATTCTCGAGTTGCTTCTTGCTATTTTTCATCTTTGTCACATGTTTCAACCAAATAATCAGACATCAGGCTCTTACTATCATCGTTGTGTGTTCTAAGTTAATATTCTTCATGGAATTCAAATGGTATTGTACCATCATTTTATAATTATCATTTTTTTTTCTTACCAAAACATGAGATTAGAAGCAAGTAATATTGAATACTATAAAAAAAATATTGGACGTATATTTATATATTTTCCTACTTAAAATTTCGGGGTAACTTTTTAAACAATTGTCAAATTTGTAACGAACATATTTTTTTGGATAAGGTAGTTAATACACATGGACCAACCAAAAAAAATGTCATAAACGCTTTTCTCCGAAGAGCCTTTATATTATTTCCCTTTTTTGAACGTATAACTATTCACTGTCTGCGTGTGTGTGTACTTGGTCGTTTTTGCCGGTTAGGATAACGTTAATTAAGCTGATACCGTTCGATAATTTTTAATGAAGTTTTTTATTTTTCCACAAATCAGTTTAATATCATCATCTATTGTTTACGAGTTAATCTTTGGAACACAAGCTCCACAGACGGTTTGCTTGGATCTTCCACGTGCGATTCCGTCGACAATGTAGGCGATTAGACGGTGTCGGCGGCACTACAACATTGGACATTTGTTTATCAGTGTTATTCGGTGTTTAATCTCGTTCAGATATTGTGTCCCTTTTTATATTAACAGCAGTTATCTTATTAGCCACGTGTAACCTGTGGATAATATTACTTTACATTGTCAAAGTCGCCATAGCCGTTAAGCGGGTCAGAGGTGACGATTTCGATAACGTTTGTTAGGGCGTTTAATTTAATTTATTTTTTTTTTGTCACGTTAGTTCGTTTTTTAGCTTCGATACGGAAGTGTTGATTTAAAAATGAAGTTTTTTTTCTTGTGTACCACATAGCAACTCTGTAGATCACAAATCGTTCGTGAATAGTACTTGATTGAGCCAAACATTTAAAAACCTCACCCCTTCCCCAGTCAAAATCAAGAAAAACACACAAAAGTTGTCTATTTATAAGTCTTTATACTTCATAAACCCGTTCATCTAGATGGGGTGGAAACTTTTTTTATTACTTCACTTCTTGGGTGTTGTTTTGGAACTTAACGTATGAAAGTTGGACTGATTATTATGTAGGATGACCTTACAACCATAAGACAATCTCTGAAATTTTATTAGAAACAAGTTCACGGATTTCGGCCAATTGATTGGATGGTTAAATCGGTCACCCAATGCAATATATTTGAATACATTTTCTATTAGAAAAGCTCTAGTCTTAAAAGCGCTCAGTTAATCTATTTTTTTAGTTAAGTGTATAAACAATTTTTCGGGTGGGCTTAAAATAATATCATTAACCTGTTGTAAGGTGTTACTGTCAATTGCAACAACTACACATGTGAATGGACTGTTACCAAAATTTTGATCCTATCTGTTTTAACCATAATTGCGACTTAATTATAGATATTGTACATAAAAACACTTAAATTTAAACATGATATTTGAGTTATATTCAAAATGTATTTCAACAGTCAAATAATTAAAAATAATATAAAACCATCACTGTAACGCACTACAAAAATTGTCAACATGTTATTGATAAAATCTGTAGTTAAGCATATTGAATTTGAGAAAGTTTTATAAAGTTGTTTATAATTAAAATTGTTCTATAGCTAATAAGCAAACAAGTTTGAAATGAATGTCCTATTACTCATTAATAAAAAGGCAAGTA